CTGTGCGAAAGGGCTGGAGACGCTGTCACTGATCCCGGAGAATGAGCTGGTCGCGTCTCTTAGGGGTGGAGCTAAGAGGGCCATCTCTTAGCTCCGCCCTCTGGCTGCCAAGACAAGGAAGAGGGCCATGGGCCTGCAGGACAGGGAAGGTAAGTTTGGAGTGGAAGGGGGCGCTGGGAAGAGAGAGAGAGAGTGTGTGTGTGTGTGTTTTGCTGGGACTTGTAGTCCAGCACAGCTGGTGGTAATCTGCATTGCTGTATGATGATTATACAGCAATGCAGAATAGCACCAACTATGTAGGACTACAAGTGCCAGCAGTGCATTATGGGGTGGGGGGCGGGGGTTTGTTTGCTGGTGGTATTCTGCATACCTTACTTTTATTATAATGTATTGCTGGGACTTGTAGTCCCGCATAGCTGGTGGTATTGTGCATTGCTGTATAAAGATTATACAGCAATGCAGAATAGCTCCAACTATGTAGGACTACAAGTCCCAGCAATGCATTATATTTTTAAGTAGGGATACACCAGTGTTAATACTGGGCATTTTCACAAGTATTCATACTCGTGAAAATGCCCCGATACTAAACGCAGATACCGGTGTTCTGTCGAGAATGCTGACCTAGTCGAATTTGCCGACTTCAGCATCTGCGCTTACACACAGACCAATATTATCGAGGAAACCGGGATTTATTCACAAAGTATTTCGTTTAAATCGTTAATTGTGACCGATAATAATATTCTGTCCATCATTTCCTGCCATGGACGGCATATCATTAATGGTCACAATTAATCATTACAAACAAATACTTTGTAAATAAATGCTGGTTTCCTCGTTAATCCCATCTGTACATAAACACAGATACTGGGTCAGCGTTCTCGACAGAACACCGGGACTAACATTTTAAACAAGCAGCTGCCTGAGGTCCCACGCTTGCTGTGGACCTCGGCAGCCTTCCTGTTAACCATGCAGTGCCGTAGGGTTGGGGGAGGGCCCTTAATGGTTTCTTGCACCGGGGCCTTGAAGGTTCTAGTTACACCTCTGCTCTTTAGGGTCACAGGAGGACATTTACTACTGCCCTCTATATGCTTTTTTCGGGATCCACCCTTCTACCGCTGTGCTTGCCCCCTCCCTATCTGTCCCTCCAGTCAGTGCGGGAGGAATGGAGAGGGGGGGGGGATCCCTGAGGGGAGTGGTGACTGACAATCACCACTCTGCAGGGAGAATATTGTGAACTGAGTGATCAGCGGTATGTGATCGCTCAGTTCTTGATCTGCATGTAAATGATCATAGCAACACAAAACATTGTTTGCAATAGATTGTTGTTACAATGTTATCTTTATATAAACTGTTCCTCATGAAACTAGCTGAGAATCCATCATTTACTATTAACTCTTCTACATTGTACATTGTATACTACATATGACATATTCATTGGCAGTAGCCATATTGGTAGAATGATGAGACTACATGCTAACAAGCATTTATTTAAATGAGCACATACGAAGATTAAGCTCCAGTCATTTTATGGTTTTAATGTTATGTATTAATAAAATTATATATTTTAACATATTTTTGAAGAGACTTTTTATAACCTACAAATTCCCTTATTTTACTCTGTTTCATTTTGTACACAGATATTGGGATGGTGGTATATCAATTAGATGGGAAAATCAGATAAAGTGCCCCTATAACATATTTATAAGATTAATATTGATGACTGACTGTTTTGTGCCTCTTGAGCTATTAGTAAACCCAAGCTCAAGAAAATGAGCAGTGTAAGCCCATTGTTTCCTGAAGATTTATCTTGTGTATTTGAACCGGACAAGGCACAAGAGCTGTGATCTGCAGCTGCTAAGGTGGCTGAAAAATGCTGATCTTCCCTGCTGCAGCAGTGAACTAAATGTATTTTGCTGGTTCTCCCTCCTTTGTTGGGCCATCCATTTGTTGGTTCCTTTTTATCCCTAGTAAAACATTTTTATGTTGCAATTGTTTTGGTAAAATATAAAAGAGGAGATTGTGCCAACTAAATAGATACCAAACATGCCAAGCTTCAAAATTACATGTGCGTGGGAAATGGGGAAAAATACGGTAACCAAAATTGTCTATAAAAAATGCTTTAAAAGTTTATTTTTAAGAGTCTAACATAGGGCATATGTCAGTGGCATCAAAATGGTTAAAGTATATGTAAACCCTAATAAAAGACCCCCTCTTATTTGCTTCCATTTGGTCTGTTAAAATGTATGTGTAGCAAAATCTTGTTTTCCTCTTAGTTTTGTATTGAGTGGGGAACTGTATTGGCTTGGCATACTCTTTATAAATGCAATTGAAAGCATTGTGTTAAATCATTTCAATGACTGACAACAAATGCCTATTGATTGTGACAGAAATTAAGTGGCAATGAAACTTCATGCATCTGCTTCACTAAAATTCCAAACAGTGTTATTAGCCCTGATCAATTCTCTTATTTGGACTGCAGAGCACTTCCTCCCCCTGTTGGAGAATAGGATAGGGTGTGGGTTTTTGCAGATCTAGCACACATACTAGGGTGTCTAGGGTGAGAGAGTGAGAGAGTGAGTGAGTGAGTGAGTGAGTGAGTGAGCATTGTCACCCATATTGACAGGAGGTGTGTTACTAGTAGGTTCATCATGTGAACATAAAGGATAAAAAAAAACAGTAAGATGAAATAAAATGCAGACACCACATATAATGAGCTCAGAAACAACAGTCTTGATTTTTCCTATAGGAGCTCAATTTTACAGCTCCTGATTGTCACTCTGTGATGGTCACAGTGCTGGGGGAACATGATAGAGTATGTTTCCAAAACAAAACCGTAATGCAGATATGTGGAAGCAGAGGGTGGGCCTTGTGTATTGCAAGCAAAAGAGGGTAACTGTGATGCAAATGTAATCTCAGTAGAATAGCTATGGCTACCATTTTTCTGAGATTCAAACTGTTGGTGCACTGAAGATAGTCCTAACATTTCTTCTCTCCCCTGAAAGTTCATGGAACCTCTGTGTTCCAACTTAAAGACTTAGCATATAATGCAAGGCTTCCTGGTCCCCTCTCAGGAAAGTGAGCAACATCATGGCCACTGAAGGATTGCAGAGTCGTGGGCTGGAGTGCAGAGCTTTCAGGAAGAACTTACCTGAAGGAGAGAAATGTTAGAACTGTTTGCAGCACGCCAGCAGCCCAAATTTGGAATAAAATGTACATTTGCATGACAGTTAAAAACTCACATACATGGGGTGGTGACAGAGTCACTTTAATGGAAAAATTATTAGAATGTGTGCTCATTGAAAATGTGCTATACATTTAAAAATATTGATGAGAGATCTATGCCACTTAGCCAATTACATTCTACTTTTGGGCCTCTCTAGTTTACGATTGACAGCCTAAGTACAATCTTCATAATGTATCATCTTAATACATTGACTGTTATGCATTTAATTGTTCACACAATATAGACCCACATAATAATCTTAGATTTTTGGCAAATCATGTCTCCCTCTGACTAATACTGTGTTTTCATGTACCAACCTTTTTTTTATTTATTTCACACTGTTTAGTTATATGACTGAAGATAACAGAGTTTACAGAAATGCCAGGAAATATAAAGCAGATGTGCTCTCTAAGTAGCTAATTGTAATCAAAATCTGTACACATAGTTGTGCCTAAGTAAATATAACTAACCTCAAAACAGAATCCTACCTCTTATGTAACAGTACATATGACAAGGCTTAATTATGTAATTTTTTTTGGCTAAAACTTGCCTTCAAATATATTGTAAATGTAAAATACTTGCTTCAACACAAATCTTATATCCTTTCTAATGCATAGACAATTCATTACCTACAGCGAACCATGTCCCAAGCTTTCCCATGGCAAATTACAGTAGTTGTTAACTCAATCACCAAAATAATACATAAGCTTTGTAGTTTAAAAAAAATTTATCTAAACATTCCTGGTGGAAACTGAATGGTTGTGCCAACACACATTGGTCTGCAATGTTCCACCGTTGTCACTCTAAAAAAGAGCAAAGATGCATAGCCAATACTGGAACGAGTACATGCACTGTAAACAGTAAAACACTGAAAAAGGATGTATGGTATCAACAACAGGGAGATGCAAAAAAGATGAAAAAAAGGAAACGGTACTTCATGAAAATAAAAACAACAAACATGTCAATTGTTTATGATACTTTCTTAACATGCGCACCACCATCTTGCAGTATATTTTGGTATGTATATCTTAATATGGCTGCCGCTCATACTGCAGTTTCAGTGTGTGGTTTCGGAATCGGAGGCTCGCTGCCTCAGAATCGAAAACAACATAAAAATTGTTTTCCTTTGACGAAATGAATGAAAATGTTTTTCATTTGTTTCATCTAAAAACAATTTTTTTGCTGTGCACATGTCTATTTCAAATACAGTTAGAAGAAAAATAATCAAAATGTGTAATCAATCAAGTAATCAACTACTCACCTATTAGGTCAAAGCACATAAGAAGAAAAAAAATAGTTTGGCTCCCTGAAAATTTTACTTTTTCAGGTCAAATATCTATTTATTGTGCTTGAATGAATAATAATATTAAACTACATATTACTGCTTCTATGGAAAAGCATGGCAATGCACTTCACCAAATTTTTAAATTGATGCATTCATTTTATTTTTGGCATTCATTTTATTTTTGGCATTCTTTAACAACTAGATTATGTTAGAGAAACACGTAATTATATTCAGGTTAAAAAAGCAAATCATGAAAGTTAGCATTGTATATACATTTTTGCCGGTTGTAAAATCTTGATCAGAAGCTAGATGTCACTGCTTGCTTACATATTACTTCAAGATCCAGCTTTCCTCCATCTTTAGAGGTCGTCATGTTATTTGATGAAAATTTCTGTCTGAGCCTGAATTCTGCTCAGTCTACATCTTCTCAATACATCATAGTTGCATATAGGTATTAGAAGATATCTTTCCAATAGCCTCTGAAGTCAAGAAATGGTCAATAACATTGGAGATTATGAACCTAGGAGCTGGCTGGTCAATTTCATTTTGCTACAGATGTCTTGGGATCTCATTTTCTGTCAACTGCATTATGTTATCCCAGAGGAATCCAAACACGGCACTTTTGTTGGAAGAATTGCTCAGGATCTGGGACTGGACATGGGTGAGATCAATTCCAGAATGTTACGTGTTGTATCTAGGGATGATAAGGAATATTTCCAGGTTAATCTGCAGAATGGAATCTTGTTTGTTAATAACATAATAGACAGGGAAAACGTATGCCCAGATACACCTTTCTGTATTATTCCTCTGCAAATCATTGTAGATAAACCTGTGCAGATTTATCACGTAGAGGTGGAAATAGAAGACATAAATGACAACAGTCCAGTTTTCTCTACTGGAGAATACAACCTACTAATATTGGAGCTAAAACCTGCAGGCTCGCGTTTCCCACTAGAGGGAGCCATTGATGCTGATGTTGGGATAAATACAATCACAAACTATGAACTAAGTGAAAGTGATTATTTTACACTAGATTTCCAGAAATATTTGAACCAAATTCGGACACTAGAACTGGTGCTGAAGAAACCACTTGACAGAGAAAAACTGTCTATTCACAATCTTACCCTTATATCCTATGATGGAGGCAAGCCAAGGTTAAGTGGCACCACACATATTATAGTCACTGTAGAAGATGTCAATGACAACTCCCCACAGTTTGACCAGCCATTTTACCAGTGCAGCATAGCAGAAAATGCTGTTTTAGGGACTTTAGTAATAAAGCTGAAGGCTACAGACCTTGACCAAGGTAAAAATGGTGAAATCACTTATACCTTTAGCAAACTGTTATCACCGCGAATAAAAAACCTTTTTAAAATGGATCCTAAAACAGGAGATATTAAACTAGTAGGGAGTTTAGACTATGAAACTGTTAAAAGATATGAAATTTCAATTGATGCCTTTGATCATGGAGATAATCCAATGGTTGGACATTGCAAAGTTTTAGTGACTGTGGTGGATGTTAATGACAATCCTCCAGAGATGACAGTGACATCACTCTTGGTTCCGGTTCCTGAGGATTCTCCAAAAGGGACAATCATTGCTATTATAAGTGTACATGATAAAGATTCAGGATCAAATGGAAAAGTTAACTGTCGCATTTCTGACCATACACCCTTTAAAATAATTCCATCCTTCATGGGAGATTTTTCTTTGACTGTTGATGCACCATTAGACCGGGAAAGAAAATCTGTATATGAAATTGTGATTTCTGCCACTGATGAGGGATTTCCACCATTTTCAGCAGCAAAAACTGTTAAAATTGACATAAGTGACATCAATGATAATATCCCTCAGTTTATCCAGCCTGTTGATACAATCTTTATCAAGGAAAACAACCCACCTGGTTTTCATGTGTACACTGCATCTGGATCTGATATGGATATTGGCCAGAATGCCTTCATCACATATACAATGACTGAGAGCACAGTTGATGGAGTTCCCATATCTTCCTATATTTCCGTCAATCCAGAGAATGGAAAGGTATTTGCACTGTTATCATTTGACCATGAACAGGTGGCGTACTTTCAGTGTCACATAAGAGCTACTGATGCTGGTCTACCACCGCTTAGCTCTAATCTTACTCTAAACATTTTCATTGAGGACATAAATGACAATGCACCCTTATTTCTATCAAATGATCTGGAAACCACAATTAAAACATCAAAGACTGCACATCCACGACATCTGGTTACTAAAGTGAGAGCATTAGATCTTGATTCTGGATATAATGCGTGGATATCTTATAGTTTTAGGGATTCAACAGTGAGGGCCCCTTTTGTGATTTCACAGCAAACTGGAGAAATCAGTTTAAAACGTGCATTAACAGATTCAGATAATGATGAATATAGGTTGGTACTTTTAGCTCAAGACCACGGAGAACCAATCATGACTGCGCAAACACAGATCACAATCTCTTTTGTGGAATCAGGAGAAGAAATAAAGTTGGATCCTCAAGAATCAAATGGATATAATGTTGAATTTTCTGAAGCAAATGTATACTTGGTGATTGCTATCTGCATAATATCAAGCATATTTCTAATAACTTTAATTGCATTTACTGTTTTACGATGGCACAAATATAGAGAAGAGGTCAATGACCTGAAAGAGAGTTACAAGGTCTGTTCAAACACAGGTGGTAGTTGGATGTATTCTCAGGAAAGTCAGTATCAATTTTACTTAAACTCAGTACAACCCAGGAATGACTTAATGGTGTTCACACCAAATAGTTCTCAGAACACAGGGAATGAGAATGCAGTTGGTGAGGCAGTTATAGTAAATTCTTCCAAGGTGAGTATTGAATATTTTTATATGCTATTGTATGTTCTTATATTTATTTTTAAACATTCATCACACATACATCCATCACCTGTTCTTAACTCTTCATGCTCCCAAATATATTTCACATATGTAATGCATGTCCTTGTTTTTCTTCATACTTCACAACTGCAATTATTCACATTAAAGTAGGATAGTTATACTTACCCCACTAATGTCTAGCCTTTGCTAAATTTCTTTAAACTAAATTTGGCTGATTATAGGCACAATTCACTACAAAGAGTGAGGTAATTTAAACTTCACTCTTAATTTTTCCTCTAAAGAGTAGTATTATTGCATTTTATGTCCTGTTCATTAAATGTGAGATGCAGTATGGAGCCTGTGCAGTGTCCTACTGAATTCTGAAATATTTGCTGCTCAAATTTCATGCAGCGTTTTATTGCAATTATACATAGTTATTGCATGCTTTATTTGCACTCTATAAATTAAAGGTATAAATGAACCTGAAGGCAAAAATGTGTAAAAAAAAGTTTAGTTTGGGTTTTTGATTACACTTGTAATTTCTGTATAACCTTGATTTATTGTGCAGCTTTGTTGTTAGTAAGCCAGTTCTGTTGTCTACGATGTTGATTTTAGGACCTAAACATGTGGGAACACTGGCACATTCACTATTTTTACCCATTGATTGGACCATGATAGCTTAGTCCAGAAGAGTTCATTTGTATCTAATTTGTAGGACTTGTAGACACAAGCAAGAAGCAAATCATTTGTTTCAGCATGCAAGAGCCAAAATAAATACTAACATGTTTATCTAGCTTTGGTACTTTGGTTAAAGTTCTTCTCACTTGCACATCTAAAGAAAAAGCTAGAATTTGGATTTTAGGAACATGACCTCCAGTTGCACTGTATAGACTCGCTCAAGAACAATAAAACCTTAAAATAAACCTTTTGAATAAGTTGGTGTGCCATTCACCAGTATTCATTGTTTAATCAAAATTATAATAAATGTTTCAAAGTAAAATAAAACATCATATATTAACATTTAAAGCTGAACTCCAGCACTATGTCTACTTGCACAATGATACTGGCTCCTCCTCTGTACTGAAATTGATAACTCTGATTTCACTGTGTGCTGTTAACTTCTCACGGTGTGCATTTGATGCTAGAACAAGTGAGATAGAGCCCGCCTTATTTCCTAACTAAAGAATACCCGGCATCATCTAGCCATTTCCTCTAGAGTCTTTCCCTTTTAATTATTGGATTTCAGTTCTTTCAATCATGGAAGGTCAGCATCACATTTTGGGTGTTACCTAGGGCAGTCTGCATGCAAATGAAGTCTGTCTAGGAATACTCCTTCTTCCAGACTGACATCTGGGCTGAAAGATAGAGAGGAGTTCTGATTGCAAGGCCCCTCCCACCAGCCATAATCTGCCTACATTGCATAGAGAAACATAGATATCCATGCAGATTAAACGTTAGCTTTAAGTTGAAGTCAGGACAGAAATAAAATACTCACATTCATGCAGTTCTGTATTCATTAATACATTATTACAGGTAAACTGTAGGCAAAGGGTTCAAATGAGAGGTGAAATACATGCATGGGAACTGTTTAACCTGCCAAAGGATTTCTATTTATGTTAATTCTGATTTACATAGTTCTGCCAAAGGGAATAGCCCTGTATGGCAGTGGAAGGAATCTGATATTTCTCTGCTGAAGTTCACTTTCCTTTTGGATCGTGTCACACCCCCACCCTGTGTTTGGACATTGAAAGGAAAAGCAGCACAAAAATGAGCTGAGCTCTCTGTCACTCTGCTCTCTCCTCCTATCAGAATGTTCTCCTATACCCTATCATCATGTTCCTTGCACCACAGCACACCTGTGTCATACAACAGCTTTTTCACATCCAAATCTGTGTTTCCTGTGATTCCAGAAATCCAAGTGAAACAATCCACAGTGCAATCCCACTCTGTTGAAATAAGGCTCAGCTGGCAGTGTGGACCAACACTAAACTATGTTACTGTGGTCAAATACCTTAAAGGAGAACTATGAGGTGAGTGTTTTTCACTCAACCTCATAGTTCGAGCTGACGTGTGACAACGAAACTGTCACACGTCGACTCAATAGATCGGCAAGTGAGTGAACCCATACCATCGCTCGCTCACTTCTCGATCCTGTCCCTGCAGATAGCCGTGACTGTCACTCACGGCTTCCTGCAGGGATTCCCGGGTACAGCTGGTTCTGCCTCTAGATAGGCAGAGCCAGCTGTCAATCACGCAGCTGGGTGGATCTCGACAGTAATGTCGGCATCCGTCCCGGCTGCGGGGGGCTCAGTATACCGCGAGCTGTAGCTTGCGGTATTCTGAGCTTTGGGTCACGGGAGGATGCTAGTTTATGTCCTCCCATGACCCTGAGGAGAACTATGGGGAAAAACACTTACCCCATAGTTCTCCTTTAATCTCATACAGGGTTAGTCTTCTCCTTGTTCAGAGCTCCTTCAGATAGCAATATCCAAAATCCAATATGGCTCAAATAGAAAGTAGAGGACATCATATTGCATAAAACCATGAAACAATGTATTGTTTCAAGCTAATATAATAAAACCACTCACATGTTTAAATGCACATACGGTGTGCACACAGACCAACCTCTAAGATCTATTATTCTTTGATTTGGGGTAATGTCAGTCGCCCTGGATCCCTGGCTCCAACAGTCCTCATCCAGATGGAGCTTCCAGGTCTGTGCGTCGTTAAGCTATGCTCAAAAAAGTTAATAACGGTCAATATACCACTGCACTCCAGACCAGAATCCCTTATATAATCGAATGGGTGCTGGTATGACCTGAGGATGGCACCACATAAGTCCAAATACTGAAAAGAAGTCACCCGCTCTCCAAGCTTTGGATTGCGGGTGGCTTCCTTTCAGTAGTTAAACTATGCCCTACACTTTATGTCATCAGAAACTTCCTAAGGGTAAGGAGCTTAATTACACTTTCTGTAATTTTATCCTCAATGTTTCCACCCATTCCCATGGAAACTGAGGGGCCAGCATACACCTCTCATACCTTTCTGGACATCCAATGTTTACACTTGTCTCTATATCTGTAAAAAGATATCCAACCAGCTTTCTCAATTCAGAATGACTTGTACAAAACATGCTCTGGGAATAAATATGGTGACTGTTGCTCAAATCCACATAATATTGTTGTGACCTGGTTGTGACTAACAGATTATGTGGATTGGAGCAATTCACATTCACCATATTTATTCCCAGATAATTTTTTGTACAAGTCATTCTGAATTGAAAAAGCTGGTTGGATGACCAGTAAAACGTCTTCAAGAAAAATACATCAAGTCCAGTTCCCTTTACTTATTTTTTAGAGATATGCCATGACCTGGATGAATGAGAACCTTCACAGACACTTGGCACTATAGTTACAGAGAGGTGAATATACTTGTCAATCATCCCAGCCAAAGCCATGCTGCATCCTTCAAAGCCTTATAAAACTTGCTTACATTTGTTAAAATATTCTCCCTTCCAATGTATCATACAGTCTATACTGCAGTACTGCAGCAGAGAATGAGCTAATAATTGCTTTTGTTTTGCCATAGAATAAATTGGGCTTACTTTTTTCTCTACTTTATATTAATATATTCAATTTATCAGCTATACATCAATGCTTGCTAATTAATCAATTTTAATCAAAATCTACATTTAATTCCTTGCAGCAGATGTAAGGTCAATATTTTTTATTATGAAGATGCATTGAAATCTTCTAAATGGGCGTGAGAAGGAGTAAATGAGCCTAGACAAAACAAAAATATTATAGAAGATTTAGAATTTTTTCTTAAACATAGTTACTTTTGGTATAAAAACACCTTCTTTAAACAAAATACAGGAGCCTCTATGGGGGAATGCTGCTCCAAATTTGGCCTACATTTGTATGGCCAAATGGGAATATGATGGTTAAATAATAAACTTAGAGGGTTATTCACAAAGCTGCCAACAGCAGCCGAGTGATTAACCCAGCCGAAGTGAAGTAAGCCGAATGCAGTTTGGCTATTCATTCCGGCTCAGTACAGAGGCTGTTCGGTTGAGCCAAGGTGCAGAGGGACTTGGACTCAGTCGATCCAACATCTGGATCAGCTGAGCCGAAGCTCCAGCAGCTCACTTACTGCCGTTCGCCCCTATTCTCATAGGGGCCGAGCGGCAGTCAGTGAATAGCAAAAATGTTGCTGGCAGAATAGAAGATAAGTAAAAAGAGTGAAAAAAAAATTGAAAAAATATTTAAAAAATGTAAACAAACAGTAAAATGAAAAAATAAATAAATATATTTTAAAAAAGAACAAATAATAATAAAAAAGAAAAACAATTGGGCGGAGCTAGCAATGACAGCTAGCTCCTCCCAACTGTCTCCTATTGGCAGGCACCTGCTAGAGCCTTCGGCAGGTCGATCACCCCACTTTGGCTGTCACTTCAGCTCAGTCGACCCGAAGCATATGCCTTCGGCTCGGCTGAGCCACTTGGCTGCCTTTGGCTGCTGTACAGACTATTGTGAATAGCCCTTTGGTTCGACTGTGAAAGGTGTGAAAGGCAAAAAGGTTATAAGGCCAAATTTTTAGAGAGAGATAAAATACACCAGCTAGAGAAAAACAGTGCTAAGAAAAAAAAAAAGAAAAAAGCTAAATGAACATAAAATGTATGATGTAGGGTTAGTCCTAGATTTTAACAGACAATATAGAAAAAGAGAAACTTGTGCGTAAAGGGATGTATTGAAAAATGATTCCCAGGTGAGCACAATGTTACCAGATACACCATAAAAAGAACAAGAGAACCAGAGGCAATGTATTGTACATGTATTTTAATCCACAGGGGCATTAAGACATTTGAATAAACCCCTCACTGAAACATGATATAACATCTTTAGTGCTTTACTCCTGTAACTATCACTATGAATTCCTTCCTCCTCGTATTATTACTTCTAATGTCCTTACAAGAATAACACATTCCACCATAAATCTCCTAGCAACAAGGAAGTGGTATCTCCATTCATGAATGGAATAGGCGTGTCACCTGCACAGTGCAGTACAAAAGCAAAAAAATCCCAGCATACTCACCAGCCAGGTTGCAAAAAAATACCTTGTCTAACTACAAGGGTCAACATAGGTTTTAGTTGCATAACTTTTGCAAAATATGTGGAAACCACACTGCCTTGTCAAGGACCCTCTGTATAGTGTGGTCCTGACTCTAATCTATGAGAGCCTCCATTTTGGAGCATATATACAGCAAACAATGAGTTGGGTGCAGTTTTTCCAGGAGGTAGCCCAACCTCCTTAAACACATAGGGACAAGCCCCTAGTGTGGCCCCACACCAAATCCAACAAGCGGAACTAATGGCAAATACACACATTAATTCATATCTAGCTTTAAAGCAAGGTGCACATGGTAGGGTTTTACACAGTACACAAACAAAAGTTTCCCAGCACACTCACCAGTCAGCTTGCAAAAAATACCCTGTCTAACTATTAGGGCTAAAAACAGAAGATTTCGTTGCACAACTTTTGCAAATATGTGAAAGCTACACTGCCTTGTCAAGGTTCCTCTGTTAGTGTGGTCCTAACGCTAATCTTATATAACTGGACACACTGGAGGCTTCGGCTGCTATTGTGATGTACTGGGCTTCTCATGTGTCCCTATGCCTTTAAGGAGGTTAGGCTTCCTCCTGGCAAACCTGCACCCAATTAATCTCTTAACCTCCCTTGCGGTATTCCCGAGTGTAGCTTGGGGTTACTTTTCCATACCATAGGCGGTAACCCCGAGCTACACTTGGGAATGCCGCATAGCATTTACTTACCTTGTCCCTTGAGCCGCACTGTGTTCTGCGGCCGATGCCGGCTTCCGCAGGGTGGCGGAACCGGCGGCATATTAAAAAAAAAACGACAAAGACGAAAACATAGACGAAAAATTACATGAAAAAAATAAAAAATCATACAGCCAGGGAGGTTAATATATATATGCTCCACGATGGAGGTTCTTATAGATTAGAGTTAGGACTACACAGAGGGGCTTCAATGAGACAGTATGGCTTCCACATATTTTGCAAACATTGTGCAACTAAAACCTTTGTTTTTAACCCTAATAGTTAGACATGGGTTTTTTTACAGGCTGGCTGGTGAGTGTGCTGATTTTTTTTTGCTTTTGTGCTGTTTAAAGCACACCTTCCGTGTGCACCTTGCTTTAAAGCTAGTTATAAATTGATGAGTGCATTTGCCATTTGTTTCACCTGCACAGTGCATGCACAGCACAAAAAACTGAGGTTCTGTAGTCTAGCCTGTTGTAGATTCACTAGGCAGGGTGCAGGAGGAGACTGTGTTGTAGACTTAGGGACAGGACCCGTAAGTGCTTCTGGCACTGCAGGAGAGAAAAATCAGGTATCCTGTCTTGACAGGGAGTGATTATTTTGTATTTAGATGTACAGTAGATAAAGCATACGTTTTTATGTGTGTGTAAACTTCTGCATAACTGTTGATCACAATGCTTAGAGGCCTCCTGGCAGCAGTGAGATTGGGGTTTTCTGTAAAGTTGCCCTAAAAGACCATTTCTATATATAGTCATTTGGGAAATATTTTATAGAATGTTTCATTTTTGTATTTTGGAATTAATGAGTGATCAGGTGAAAGTTTGAGATCACAGCATACTGTATGTCACAAATGCACACTACTCCAAGCGGGCATGCAACTTATTTTGGTGGTAAGAGGGTTGAAAAATCACTAAATGCCCCACTTCCACGACACCCACTTCTTCTTATCTAAAGAATGCTGCCACCAAACCATACCTGATTAAATGTTCAATTCCAAATTTAGTAGATAATTCCCCAAGTAACTTGTAAAGACACCCAAAACGTAAATTAAATTGAATACATATGAGGTAAAGGATTATTAAATTATTCTCCTTAAGGAACATATGTGATTCTTATATAAGATAAATGAACAATTTATTATGAAAGAAAAAGTATTCACAGGGCACATATTCAAAATTAGATGTTACATAAGGTAGTTACAGATTACAAAGAGATCAAAAATAAAAAGGAGAAAATTGATAGACATCCTACTTACAGAAGTACTCAATTTTATCCCGGGCAGCTTCCAGCAAGCAAAATGGCACCTTACTGCATAATTAAATTTTGGCCCCAAGTAAGCACACCTTAGTTACCATTGCAACATATTATATACCTGTGGGCCACAGCTCAGGTTGCAGCCAAGCCTCTGGGATTAGCAGGGTGGAGGAGCAGGAGTGGCTAAGAGATAAGGACATGAAGCCCCCACACCTGGCAGTGGAGTTTTCAATTAAGAGTGCACCTATGTGACAGAAAGGTTAATATTTCAAGATATGAGTCTGACACGGATATGATATTTCCAGATTCAGATGCAGCAGAATTGTCTCTTTGCATAGACATCTTATATGGTTAGTCTGGGACCTCCAGTAACCGACTTTTGTCTATTTTTTAAACGATTATAGATACCCCAGCCTTGTCTGGTATCATTATACTGGGAATAATGATCTTATTGCAAGACATTTGCTTGTATATCAAGGCAACATTTTTCAGAAATGTTTGCTTGTCTTGCAAAACGCTCTCAAACCAAGTTACTTGTAAACCAAGGTATTACTGTATTTAATCTTTTAAATACAACCTTTAGTATAAAGGGGCTGGGTTATGTGTCTCCTTTGTTTGTTGGAGGGTCCTCGGCAGGGTCAGCTCCTGTTGCCTCCCTGACTAGGAGAGGTGTAAAATATGCCACATGGGAAAGGTTCAGGCAAAAGAATTCCCATAACAACACCAGGATACTAACTGTGTAACATAAATTTAATTTACACTTCACTGCATCTGAGTAATATCTCACTGTAACCTGGTTAACCCTTTCAACTCCATTATTTTGCCACTGCTGGAAGGCTATGTCACATGTCTTCTACCCCAATCACACTGATTAACAACATATTTACAATCAATTATGGTATAGTGTCCACTGGGCAGCATAAGTAGCCCTATTTTACAGATTTCAGATTTGTGGTGTATCTAAATTCAGATTTTATGTTATTGTGTTAAAAAGTAGCCAGTCTTTATTTCATGAAAACAACTCTTTGCTTAGTGTGTAGCATAACATAGGGGTCTAATTTGTGAATAACACTAGGATGCCCTAACCACTATTTTAGGTTGCAATGTTAGATATCACAAGGTGTCACTGTGGGGGGAACATCATATTGTGTGAGGCCTTGTTCACACAGAAAGAGTGTGCGTTCCAGAGCGGTAGCTGCTGGAACGCACCGCGATCGCTGATAATCTTCCCCCGCGTTTTGGGGCGGGAGGGGGTGTGGTGGTGCATTGAATTCAATGGCACCGCTTCCACGCCCCCCGCCCGCAGTGCGATCGAACTTCCACTGCAAATGCAAAAAATAGGGCTTGTGTGAACAAGCCCTTACTGAACACAAGTTTCCAAGTTGAAGGGGGATTTCTGTCTCTACAAATCCATGTTTATGCATTGCAATTGTGCCAAAGCTCCTGGCATGCATTACCACACTGTATGACTGGGCTCATTAGCTTATAACCCTTAGCGAGCATCAGCAATTATTTTCAAGCAATTTACTGTGTACTAAGTAGAATGTGATTATTCCTATGAAAATTGAAAAGGGTTACTGCCCTTTTCTCGTTGCTCTTTCAATATAGACCATTGATCTAGTCCATGTAGATGTGCTCTTAAGGTGCTGAATACACTTGGTTACTGGAATATCTTGCTGCATACAGTATCTTAACATACTTAAGCATTTAAAAATCACAGTAAACATTTAATGTGGTTAATACAGAACAGCCAGGCTTATTTTTTTAAATAATATTAATAATAAATAATGGTACATATTGAAGAACTATTTATTGGTCTTTGTTCAGATATACAGTACTGTATTAATATGGCTGTAAGAGTATTTGTATGTTTCTTACATTTTTAAGATCCCTGAAGATTTTAGGCATATTTTCTAAAGAGTAGAACACAGACATCACATATCTCCCCATTCGTAATATAATCATAATATTTCATTTAAAGTAAAAACATTTCCAATAGAGTAATGTGTCAGCAAGTAGCAATAAAAATATATTTTTGTATTCTCACGTTCAGCAGCCATATGGTTTGGGGATACTTGGTGAGACCACAAGATGTCACTGTATATTAGTATGTCATTTCCCAAGACAGATGGAAATAAATGAGACCCACGTATATGTTCAGTCATTTTCTTCACCTCAAGCATCAGACCTGACACCTGGAGAGTTACTTTTTCATTCGGTTTTAGGCACTTGTTGAATTCTGCTCACTTTTCAGTATGGAGTACTCACACAAGTACAGGATCTTGCAATGGTGGATATGCATGTCTCTGTTGATTTGCTTGACTGATGCTATAAATGGTCAAATAAGTTATGCAATTTTGGAAGAACAAGATCATGGAACAGTAATAGGGAACTTAGCTCATGATCTTCGAATGGATCCAAAGCATCTCTTCAATCGTAAGTTCCAGATTACTTATGATACTAAGATTAAGTATTTTGAAATTAACCCCAAAACTGGCACTCTGTATGCTGCACATAAAATAGATCGTGAAGACCTGTGTAGCAGTAATGTGGATTGTGTGATTAGACTGGGAATTGTAATAGATATGCCACTCGCTCTGTATCATATTGAAATATATATCTTAGATCTCAATGACAATGCTCCCTTTTTCAGTGACAATGAAATAGTTTTAACAATTGCAGAGTCAACTGATCCTGGAACTTGTTTTCCTTTAGAGGGCGCTTTTGATCCAGATGCCAGCTCTAATTCTGTCTGCTCCTACTTTATGGATCCAAATGATTTGTTTGATATAGACTCTCATATAAGTGACTACAAAACAACATCTTTAGTGCTGGTTTTGAAGAATGCATTAGATCGGGAAGAGCAGGAATTTCATATATTAACCCTTACTGCAACTGACTGTGGGACACCAAAACTGTCTGGGACAGCACAAATTAGAATTCAAGTGCAGGATGCTAATGATAATCCACCCACATTTTCGAGTTCAGTGTATGGAGTGTCAATACCAGAAAATTATCCGAAAGGTACATTCCTTTTAGCCGTCAATGCAACTGATATTGATGATGGTTTAAATTGTGAAATTGAATATTCATTTAGCAGCATTGTACCTTTGAAGGTGCAGCAACTTTTTCATATTGACTCAATAAGTGGTGTTATTAGCCTCAGTGGATTCATTGATTATGAAGAAAAAACATCTTATGAAATACAAGTACAAGCTAAGGATCATGGACCACTACCATTAATGGGTCACTGTAAAGTTATAGTAGTCATAACAGATGTCAATGACAACCCTCCAGAGATAAAGGTTACTTCTTTATCCAGTATAGTTAAGGAGGATGCTGAGCCTGGTTTTGTGATAGCACTTTTAACTGTTACAGATAAAGACTCAGGCAAGAATGGCCAGGTAACTTGCCAAATACCTACCCACTTTCCATTTGTTTTACAAAACAAATTCTCAAATTACTACTCTTTAGTACTCAAAAATGCCCTTGACAGAGAATCTGTGTCAGAATACAATATTTCTATTAAAGCTACAGATTCTGGATTTCCTTGCTTATCTTCAAATACTTCTATAAGTTTTGTGGTGTTTGATGTTAATGACAACCCACCATTATTTACACAGTCAACATATTCGGTTTCTGTGCAAGAGAATGTTCTTCCTGGGACCCCAATTGCTCAAATTTCTGCCCTTGATCTAGACAGTAGTGAAAATGCTCGTATTTCATATTTTCTGTTACCAAAAACAGCTGAAGATGTGTCTTTTAGTTTAATTACGATTAATTCCATCTCAGGAAAGATAACTTCAGTTAAATCTTTGGATTATGAAAAAATGCAGATGTTTTGTGTTGTTGTTGAAGCCAGAGATAATGGAACACCACCTTTGAGTAGCACGGCTTGTCTCACTGTTTTTATCCAAGACCAAAATGATAATTCTCCCCAGGTGCTACCATCTCTGTCTACCGTAGAAGTATGGAGATCAGCCAAAGTCGGACATGTAGTGACCAAACTAAAAGCATTTGATCGTGATTCTGGTTACAATGCCTGGCTTAAATATGAAATAGCTTCTTTTACCAACAGTTCCCTTTTTAGACTTGGACTTTATACTGGGGATATCACTGTGGCAAGAATGATTGAAGAAACTGATGGAGATTTGCATAGTTTGCTGATTTCTATAACTGACCATGGAGAACCTCCAAAATCCACCATGACTGTTGTTACCATCACTATTTTGAGGTCTAAAAAAGAAGAGCTGGATGAAAATGTAATGTTGGTAAAGGATAATCGAATCATTACAAATTTCAATGGACATCTCATTGTAGCTATTTCATTTATTTCAAGTATATTTTTGCTGATTGGTGTATCATACACAGGGCTCAAATATTTCAAAGCCTTCAGAAGTATAGAAAGGCATGCAAGATCTGAAGACCTTAGCTACATGAACAATGACTGGACCCTAATAAAAAATAAAAATAGCTTTACTCCCTTGTATTTCAATACTCAGTCAGCCAATAACACCATTCTCAGTCAATCTTGCAATTATTTATCAGATGCAGGATTTTTTGGAGGACGGATGCAAGACGAAGAAAGTACATACAGGGCAGACAGTCAGGTAAGAGAATACAAAGGTGGATGTCTTCCTGTCCACATTATCCTATTTTTTTGTTTTTATAGAATATCCTTCCTGCAATATATAAGTCTGCATTAAAAATAAAAAAAACTTTGTGATCTTAGAAGCATCATGAAAAAAAATGCTAATCATAGTTACGACTTAATCAATTTAGGTCTTAAATTTATCATTTTAGCTTCATAAAACATGACAGACTTTACGTTATGTTGTTACCTTTTTTTTTAACCATTCAAACTCTATACAACATAAGGATTTTTTCTGTAAGTGTAATAACTACAGTTTCGTTTTTAATTTAGTTAGACATCATGCAAAACATTTTTTATATTTACCTGATTCAAATTCATTATCTGATGGTCTAATGCATGTGCCTAGATTTTAAATGTCACATTAAAAAAGGTTTTGAATGTATATACATTTTATTGCTCAAAAGAGCAGTAAAAACAGAGAGGGGTTCTATTCCTTACATTCTAATATCACCATATCCATAACTAAACAAAGATTTTGGCTGAACATAAACTTGTGTAACCACCTTTTTACAAAATATTTGCATGACAAATGCATTTTAATATTCAACTTATGAAACAGTGTGCCCATTAGTTAATTCCCTACATTTACTGGTCTCCTGATTTCCTGAATGACTCTCAAAAGGCAACAAAACTACAGGCCATTGTGTACACTATTGCATGCATCCCTCTTACATGCTTGCATTGGTGTTGATTTACTAAAGGAGTGTAGCCTGTTGCCTAATCATGTGCAAAAAAAATTAAAATGAACATTTTGTCTCGCAAAGGGTTGGTTGATGTAAACACAGCTTCATCTTAATTACTGAGCTCAGTGAAGAGTCACTTTGCTATTTAACCCTTTTGCTGCCAAGACCTCTGGAACTTTTTGCACCTCAGCTGTCCACACCATTTTTGCAATTTTTCCCATTGATTTGATTTTCAATTGCTGCGTTGCTAGCGTTTGTAAAAAAAAACCAAATCATATATTTTCTGAAAGCACAGGCCCGGTAGAATGAAAAGATAGTGCTACTAAATTTGTAGGTCCTGCAATAATTGCGCAAATGTTTCTCAAATTAATATTAAACAGATAAACATACATAATTCAATTGATAAAGCACACTAAAATCAGTGTCAGTGCACAAAAATAAATTTGAAATAGAAAAGCATATTAAGGACACAGAGTCCTCAATTTCTTTGTCTGCAGCCTCAGCACTCTATTAATGGAAATTACTCAGTACAGATGCTTCCCATTCATTCAGAAACTGGTGATAGTAAAATGTTTACTATCACCAGTTTCTGAATGGGGAAAAGCCGCTGTAGTGAGTGCCTCTCCCCATTGAGAAAATCATGAATGAACTGGAAGTCATGTAAATCACATCCTGTTCATTCATAACTGGGGACACATAGTACTATGTCAAGCAAAACAAATGACAAACACACTCAACAATTTGTCACCAGCTATACAGTAAGGTGCACACGAAATGGGCTTTGAACAGTAAAACAGTAGAAAGTTATCATGGCACACTCACAAGCCAGCATGTAAAACAACTTGTCTCACCACTAAGGTTAATAACAGAGGTTTGGATACACGTCTTCTGCAGAAAATGTGAAAGCCGCATAGCCGCGCCAAGGCACCTCTTATAGTGCTGTCCTAACTCTAAACTATGAGAGTCTCCATCTTGGAGCACATGGGGGCAGAAGATTTCAAATTGGGTGCAGGTTTGTCAGGAGGAAGCCCAACCTCCTTAAAGGCACAGGAACACACAAGGGATCCCACACATCCCAATGGCAGCTGAGAACCCCCATGCGTCACTGCACCAAATCGGTCAAGCAAAACAAATGACAAACGCACTCAACAATTTGTCACCAGCTATACAGTAAGGTGCACACGAAATCGGCTTTGAACAGTAAAACAGTAGAAAGGTATCATGACAGACTCACAAGCTGTTATTAACAGCTTGTGATTAACCTTAGTGGTGAGACAAGTTGTTTTACATGCTGGCTTGTGAGTCTGCCATGATACCTTTCTACTGTTTTGACATAGTACTATGTGTCCCCAGTTATTTACAAACACTGGAGTAATCAGACAATCACTCCAGTGTTTGCTCTGCACAGAGGATCAGTAAATATCACTGATATTTACCGATCCTCCACTTGGCCACGCACACAGCTGCTGTCATGCTGAAACTGACAGGATGACAGCGGCTCCGCTCTCCTCATCGCTCGGCCGTCCTGACAGCTGGGGCTTCTCTCCTCCTCCCTGCCAGCCGCTGCTTGATCCTCTGTGTAACGAGCCCCTGCTCGCTCGGTTCCACTCTCCCGGCACTCCTCTTCTACTAATGGATCAGATGTCAGACCGCAATGTCTGATTCTTCGATCGTCCGATAATCCGGGATTCGAACTACAGCTATGTGCCCTTCAAATCCAGTTGTGATAGCTCAGAACAAACACCAGACAGGCTGTATGTAAGTTCCAACAGGGATCTGCTTTATTGAAGACCAGCTCAGTATATATACAGCTCAAGAAGTCTAAACACATAACGCAATCAAACATGAACAGCATGCAAACAGACACCCCCTCCCCGATGCCTTCATGAATGAATAGGGAGAGGAGACACATGTGATGGGATTATCTCCTGAGTGTATCATAGTGTGATTTACTCATCTACACCCGGAGTCACCTACACCCGGAGTCATCTACACCCGGAGTCAGCTACTCCTAGAATCAGCTACTCCTAATCCCATCATCAACACAATACAACAAAGGGACCAATATACTGTAACAGTTCAATGTCCAGAATTATCCCCTTCAGTGCTCCTGGAGTCACAGCCTGTACCTATAATACACACAGGGTCATCCAAATGTAATGCCAGGGAACATGTACATTACACCCCCCCACACATAAACCTGGTAGAATGGTTCATTGTAACCCCAAGAGGTCCGAGGGGGGTCTCCATAGTTCTGGGTCCATAGTCAGTTGGAAGGAGGCTAGCCCCCAGGCTCCTCCAACAGCACCAGTGACGGTTCAGTCCGTCACATTTCTCCCCTCCCAACAGTAGACTAACCAGGTACCAGGCCACAAACTGGTCTGGACCTGTGTTAGTCTGACAAGATAAATTCAAAAGCTCTTCCAACTGGTCCGCTTGACTCTCCTGCAGGAGCGTGATGCCGCGCACATCATCTCCCGGGTAAACACACTGCCGCTGGGGAACGAGGACGCTCCCCTCCCCTCCCTGGAACTCCGATGCCGCTGGGGAGAAGTGTCGGGTACATTCTCTCCTGGGAACATTTCCAGCTGCTAGGAAGAAGTGACAGCTGTACCTTCTCCCTGATGCTCCATCTGCCGCTGGAGAGACAGGTCGGCTACCCCTTCTCCCTAGAACTCCATTTGCCGCTGGGGAGACAGGTCGGCTACCTCTTCTCCCTGGAACTCCATTTGCCGCTGGGGAGACAGGTCGGCTACCTCTTCTCCCTGGAACTCATAATGCTGCTGGGGAGATAGGCCATCTGCCTCCTCTCCCTGGAACTCCATTTGCCGCTGGGGAGACAGGTCGGCTACCTCTTCTCCCTGGAACTCTATTTGCTGCTGGGGAGACAGGTCGGCTACCTAATCTCCCTGGAACCCACAATGCTGCTTGGGAGAGAGGTCAGCTACCTCCTGTCCCTGGAACCCTGTTACCAGCTCTTCAGCTGGGAGTAGATGGGACAGCGGTTCCTCTGCATTCAAAACTATAAGGTCCCCCACGTCTGAAGATGGTGACGAAGAAATGGGGTTGGCCGCCATCTCTGGCAGGAGCTTCAGGGGGGCTATGGGTGTGGGGCAGAGGATAGCAGCACTCTGCCCTGATGCCAGCTCTTCTGCTGGGGTTAGTAGTTCCTCTGCATCCAAATCTATAAGGTCCCCCACGTCTGAAGCTGGTGACGAGGAAATGGGGTTGGCCGCCATTTCTCCCAGGAGCTTCAGGGGGGCTATGGGTGCGGGGCAGAGAATAGCAGCACTCTGCCCTGATGCCAGCTTTTCTGCTGGGATTAGTAGTTCCATCTGCTGCTTCGGAGAGAGGTCGGCAACTCCTCTCCCTGGATCACCATCTTAAATAGTTTGAATGCCCGAAAGGGCAACTTACGGAAAGGCGCTGTATCTCTAGGTTTTGTCTCTGATTGCCATAGTTGTGCCATTCTCCACTCATGTTGCCGCTCTAGTGCTCTCTTTTGTCACTCATCCTGCTGCTGGATGTCTCTAATGGCATTCTGTATGGCGGTCTCTGATGGGTTAGCACCATAAAACGCCTACCGCTGTCGAACCCGTTGCTGAAACAAATCTTCAACGGACCGGGGTCCAGCATCACCATCCCTCTGATCCATGTCGGCTAGCTCACTGATCAGGGTGGCCTTGCTCTTTGTCCCAGCGGTCCCTCCTCGGCTCTCAAGTAGGTCTTTCAGCGTGTCTCTCCTGCAGGCTGCTCATTCCCTGTGGTGGTTTGTAGTTTCCCATTAACTGGAGAGCAGATCCCACCGCTGCCACCAATGTAACGAACCCCTGCTCGCTCGGTTCCACTCTCCCGGCACTCCTCTGCTACTAAACATGTACAGTACATCCCCCCACACATAAACCTGGTAGAATGGTTCATTGTAACCCCAAGAGGTCCGAGGGGGGTCTCCATAGTTCTGGGTCCATAGTCAGTTGGAAGGAGGCTAGCCCCCAGGCTCCTCCAACAGCACCAGTGACGGTTCAGTCCGTCACACTCTGCCCCCGCACCGGCCATTTCTTTTTGGATCCCCGCTGCCTCAGCCCATACAAACGGGGGAGAATAGCGGGGATCCATGTAGACACAGATCTCTGCCTGGAGCGGCTTCAGGCAGGGATGATAGGCTGCAGATGCCAGCGGCTGGCAGCAGCACTGCCGGGGGGACCCGGAATTTTTGTTAATAGCTGTCAGCTGCTGATGACAGCTATTCATTTAAAGGGTACCGTCCAGGGAATGACCATGAGGCTAAAGCGACCATGAGCTTATAGCAGAACCCTAAATGCCACCGCCCTAAGGCATACTGAGCTGGCGTTTCCAGAGCAGTTTTGTTCCACCGTTTGCCTTACGGCGGTGGCAGGGAGAGGGTTAAAGGAGAAGCCTTACCTTGCATTATTTTTCACAACTTAGAGTATTATTCACTATTGAGCCGAAGGATCCAGCCGTAGCTTTGGCTGATCCTACGGCTCGCTTCAGCCGCCTGAGCCCTTCGGTTCAGTCCGTACAGCAGCCGAGCCGCTCAGCCGAGCCGAACGCATATGTTTGTGCTCGACTGAGCTGAAGTGACAGCCGAAGCATGGAGAAAGGTCGACCGGAGCCGACCGATCTTCCCGCAAATGACAGCTGGGGGAGCTCCGCCCAGTTGTATTGACAGATCAGCGTCCCCAAAGGACCTGGGGATGCAGATCTGTCATTAAACAATAACAACTGGGCGGAGATGGCCGTGACATCATGGCCAGCTCTGCCCAGTTGTTGTTATTTAGCGGGTATCTGTCAGATGCTTTATTATGCGCCTGGAGTTCATCGCACGTGGTTGGGTCGGCGTGCGCTGTCTTTTTCCCTTTTTTCTTATATATTTTTTTAATTTTCCTATTTTTTACATTTTTAAAATCATTTTTCAACATTTTTTTTTTCCCATTCATTTAACTTTTTTTTCTATTCTGCTCGCTTCCTTGGAAGTACTAAGCGGAATAGCTGAGCCAAATGCTGCTCTGCGGGATTCGGCTATTCACTCACTGCCGTATGCGAACAGGGGCGAACGAGTGGCCTGCCGGAGCTTCGGCTCAGCCACTCCGAATGTGGATTCAAAGTCAGAAGGAGTCAAACTCCTTCTACACTTCGGCTCAGCTGAACATGCAGAGCATGTTCGGCAGACCAAAGGCAGCCGATGTACAAGTGAAATCACCCGTGCAAGGCTAAAGTGAATAACTTCACTTCGGCTTGGTTATTCACTTGGCTGCTTTCGGCAGCTAAGTGAATAACCCCCTTAGTCACCTAACCCCCACAGTTTATGTTATTTTTTATCCCATGCTTATGTGTAGAGTAGAAATTAAGATACAGACTTTGACAGCTCACTTCTCTTCATTCCTGATCACACTCTGCAACGTTTATGCAATTTCCAGACAAAAAACAAGGCTCTCCTTTCAGCTCTATTACCTGTGCTGATTCCTGTGAGAGCGTTTCCCCTTTTTCTGCATTCCTAAGACTTCGCTTGTGTCTGGAAAGTGCAGTAAAATGAGAAAAGAGCTTTCAATTAACAGGTCGGTCTCCTGGTGGTCAGGAATGAAAAGGAGTGTCAAAGTCTCTATCTCAGTTTCCACTCCACCAAGAAGCATGGGATAAAAAGCAACAAAAACTGTGGGAGTTAGGTGACTGAGCTGTGAAAAATAATACAATGTGAAGCCTCTTCTTATAACTTTAAAGCCGATCTTTAGCCTTACCTTCAGCCTTGCATAGTTGTAAAGGCTATGTAAAGGATACTCTAATTTCACTGCACTCTGTGAGTTATTCACAGTGTTCATTAGAAGAAGTAGCACGTCAAACAGAGTCTGCCTCATTTCCTGGCTGGAGGATGTCTAGCTTCATCTAGCTTTTTCCTCCCCAGCTGAACTTAGCTTCACTGTAAGTATTATCCTGGGTGGTCTGCATGCAAATATCAACTCCTCCTATTTACAGAACCCCGCCGACCCCGCCCACAGACCTTGATCTGCTTGCATTGCATAGAGAAGCATAGAGACCCAGTGATGATATCAATGTGTCTAAAATAAGGTGGGGGGGGGCAGGAATGAGAAAATATAAGAAGATTAATTGCCAGGTTTAATTTTGTGTATTGCAGTGTATAATGTATTGCTGGGATTTGTAGTCCTCTATAGCTGGTGGTATAACATACAGTACAGCGCAATATACCGTCAGCTACAGAGGACTACAAATACCACTATCCCAGCAATACATTATAGAGCACCATGTGGGGGGGAGGGAAGTGCAGGCTTACCTGAGCAGTCTTCCAGCAACTTGCTTCTGAGATCGGGACTGTCTGTCGGCGGCTGTCATCCCCTCACGCCTGCTCCTCCTTCTTCTCCCGTCCCTGTGCCGATCGTGGATGTGGGCGGTGCGCGTGAGGCAGGGAGGAGGTGTGGCGTGTGGATGCAGGCGGGCGGGTCTGGGCAGCAGCAAGGGTGAGGTGGGGAGCAGGTGTGGCATGTGGATGTGGGCGGGTCTGGCAGCAGCAAGGGTGAGGCGGGGAGGAGGTGCGGCGTGTGGATGCGGGCGGGTCTGGCAGACTGGCTGTACCAGGTAGACGCGGCATGTTAGAGGGCTCCCTGCTGGAGCCTCCCGAGCACCTCCTTGAGGAGCAGCGGCCGCATCATTCACAGATCCGCGTCGGATGCGGAGGGCAGGCGGCTGTGCAGGCGGCAGCGGCCGGGTGTCAAGGGGCCATTCGCGGTGGCATCAGAGAGGCCCGGGGGTCAATTGCCACCCTGCCCCCCAGCCCAGTCCGCCCCTGCTCTATAATGACTGCCTTGGTACCGATGGATTAGCGCAAGGCCAAAGTGGTGCCTATCTTTAAAAAGAGGTCAAAGTCTGTAAAAGCAATTACAGACCTGTAAGCTTAACTTCAATTGTTAGGAAGATACTTGAAAGTTTGATCAAGGATCACATGCACTTGTTTTTGCTTGAAAATAATATCATAAGCGATAGTCAGCACGGATTCACAAAAGACAGAAGTTGTCAAACAAATATACTTTCTTTTTATGAGGAAGTGAGTAATACATTGGACAGAGGAATGGCTGTGGATATAGTGTACTTGGACTTTGCAAAAGCGTTTGACACAGTTCCCCACATGGCTAATGTATAAGTTAAGGTCATTAGGTATAGAACATTCAATCTATAATTGGATAGAAACTGGCTTAAAGACCGTATTCAGAGAGTGATGATCAATGATTCATACTCTGAATGGTCTGAGGTTGTTAGTGGTGTCCCCCAAGATTCAGTGTTGGGCCCCTGACTGTTTAATCTATTTATAAATGACATAGAGTTGGGGAATAAAAGTACTATTTCTGTGTTTGCAGATGACACCAAGTTATGTAGTGAAATACAGTCCTTACAGGATGTCTCCATCTTAAACAAGCAGAGTTGAATGTGATTTGGTATCTAATTGGCAAATGAGCTTTAATGTTGATAAATGTAAAGTTATGCACTTGGGGACTAAAAGCATGCATGCATCATGCACTCTGGGGGGAGAATGTTTGGGTGAGTCAATGATGGAGAAAGATCTGGGT